TAGCCCACGTCGAATGCCATTGCTAAACTTTTTCGGGTCACGTGATAATAAGCCCTCGATCCCTCGTATTTTGCAATTCATCCTCCAATATGCCTGCATTTGCTTAAAGCAGGAAGCTCGTAATCAAGTTAATAAGTTTAACAGATTGAATGAGCTTTCAAAGAACCGGTAACTGAACTAGCTGACGGTTTAAGGATGTAATTGCACACGTATTTGGTCTGAATTGTCTATAACAGACAACAGACTGGTATACCGTACTGCATAGCTATCCTGTTTTGGGAGTCCATTTTAGCCTCCTGCTGTTCTACCAGCTTGTCAGTCCTTCCATGCCTTCGAAATCGTATGTTCCATAAAGCCCTTAGAGATGACTAGGTGACTGCATTGCTGAACTGACTTGAAGATGGCCCAGGCCCAAATGAATTGCCAGTCTATCTTCGAACGGATTTATTTTGCTAGCAGAATAGACCACTTCCAATGATTTTCACAGGAAGATGGCTTGAAAGCAACAAAGTGACGCTAGACAAACATCCCTCCAAAAAAAAAATAAATTGTAAATGGAATGCATTTGATGTGGAAAGTGGGCTAGCCCTCTAGCAATACTTCTCAAATTAAGCCTGCCCCAGTGCAATTTACCTTGCTGAAAATGCGATGCCCGAGAACCCTAACGAAATCCACGAAAAGAATAAATAATAGTACTCCTACAGGCCGAATTCATCGCACCATCTTTGTTCCCGTCCTGTAGTTAGTTGCTATTCTAAGGTACACAGCACGCAACGGTCGGAGCACAATGGTGATCAAGTGGAGCATGAGGAACAAGTTTCAAAAGACAAAGGGGCCTAACAAAAGGAAAGTTTGATGTCATAGTGTCCTATCCAAATCCACAATCTTCCACCCTTTCTGCAGGTTGATATCAAATCAACTTCAACAATTACACAAATTGGAATTGAGATGCAAAGTAAGGGTGGGAGATAAGCAGGAAGCAGACGTTTCCACGAAAAGCAATTAGTACATGAATGTTGCCTAACTTTTGGTGAGATTTGGAGTTAGCTCACGCCCAATGGTGCCGAGAGAAAGGAGGTGAAGTAGGCAGGCTGGCATAAAATGATTCAACAGTACTGACAAATCAACTCGTCTCCAAGTGCGCTGCGACCCAGGGATACGGGTATAAAAGTAAATTCGTGTGAACGTTGTGTGGATAAATAAGTAAAATTTGGAACACATAAAAATTGCCCTTTTTATTCTTGCTTTAACATTTAAAAGTTGTAGTTTGACATTAAAGACCTGCCAAAAAAGTAGTACCGATGGTAGAAAAGGAAGTTCAAAAGTCCACTTTTAAATAAGTGAACCTTTTTAATGGGGTCTCGCCTGCATCTACTTTGCAGCCCAAAGCTGGCAGAACCAGGAATTTGATCTACGATTAGGATAGTATGGCTCACCTCGCCTGTCGATGCAACGAGTGGTCCAGGCCCGCCCAAAGCAGATATCAACCCGTTCAGCGTGTCGCATGACAAAGAGACGCCGTTGAGGCTTCTGTGGCTGTTGCTGTAGGCTGCCACTGCCATTACTGGCACCAGAAAGGAGACTTCCAAAGAATCGCGAGCCAAAGATTGAGGAGGACCCGGTGGCAGTTGGAGGGGGTGTTTTAACACCCGACTTCGATCCGACGGCGACGGAGGTCTGGAGGGCCGAGGGGGAAGAAGAGGGGGAGGAAGAATTCGAAGAAGCGGATTTGCGACGGCAACTGCGAGGGAGAAGTTTGGAACAAAACCCACTACTACTACTACTACCAACGTTGACACCGACGGCCAGAGAGGAAGTGCGGGTCTCATTGTCCAATACTGCTAGTGGCTCGCAAAAATCCGCTGGTGCAGAAAAAGATGCCGGGATCTAAAAATGAACTCTTCAATATTTTACATCTCGAATCCGACTATCTGGGTGCTTTTATAAAATTTCCTTCCTAAGCTACGTTTTGATGGACAATGAAGAGTGAACATGGAGAGCAACGAGAACAATTCTTAGGAGTGGAAGGCTGTTTTAGCTACGATTTCACTCCACAAGCTCTACGGTCTCCTCCTCACATTTCAGTCGCTATATCGCTGTCATGCAATTTTTGCTACCAACCCATCACCTCCTCTGTGCTTTCATAATGAAGTTTGGTCTAGAACTGCAGGCCCTATAACACCTTCAAAGGAGGTATGGAAGCTTGAATGCCTTTATATTTGCGGAAAAAGATGCTACTTTTAATGACCCACGTACACGAAGAGGCGTAGAACAGTAAACACACACAATGACGTGGACTACCAACAACGCGATTTTAATGTCAACAAAAGCGCAGCAAGGAAACGCCAACTCGACTTCGGTCTCGAACTCATTCAGCCACCCATCACTAAGACATTCAATTGTGAAGATAGTGAAATTTCAAAGACAGCTTCACGTTGAAATATTTATAGAAACGTAGCAGAGAATTACATATAAATTCGTTAATTTGGCATTAATGATCCTCGGGTTTAACAGTCAGTTCTATGGACTGGTGTCACACTGAATGATAACTCACCCTAGACGGCGCCACAAAGGTGTTGCAAAGCTCCGCTGTAAGACTATCCTCCTGACATCCAATGACCACTGTAGACCTGAAAAGAGAACACAAGAATCGAGTTACAGGCCAGGTATAAATAAACAAAACACATATCCCCAACTGTTAATAGAGAGCCAAGTGGACTTTATAACTAATCACGGAGCAGAAATATGAGATAAGACATCCATTTTTTGCCATAAGTAATTAAGTAGACTTTCTAACCAATAAAAACACGAGATTTAACAAACGCCCAGCGCTTGTCTTGGAGTGTAGGTCTACTTTGACAACGATATTCAGGGTTGAACGTCTTTACTAATTGAATGATGGCTTTTTACTTAGTAATTGAAAAGTCAAAAACATAGATACACAAAGATGGTTAATTTCTAGTCTCAAGAAAAGGGCTATCAAAATCGGCAGTAGGGCAAAGTAGAAAACAAAAGGGGCACTAGGTAACCACGACGTGACTCCATTTCCGTGAGGATAATATCATCACAAGCGTCACATCAGGTACCAAGTCTTGTCTTTCGACACTGATAAAGTAATGGGTGGTGCTGATTTAACATGAGGCAATCATTAGCGGGTCGTGAAAAGATGGGCAAGCTGAGGCGAAATCGGTTCAACTACCTGGTTTCACGTGGAAATGAAGTAACGAACACATCCACCTTGACGGCTACAGCCTAGTTTGAAAAGCCCTTAACACGTTCGTTCCAAGGGTGTCGAAGAGAGCTAAATCACCACAGCCGAGGTGTTTTATAACTCTAAGGTGCCATTGATTGTTACACGATGGTTTGAGTCATACGACCACTTCTAACAAATAAAAAATGCAGTTATCCGCAGGGTAGGGATATGTTACATCCATTGTGTTTTAAGTTTAACAAATCGACTCGTAACACGATTCAGTCCAACCAGTTATAATGAGCTGACAAAGAACAGCACCACCAACAGCCATAAAGGTAGATTCAAATAAAGACAGCGAGATGCCCCCATGTATGCGACCCCGGTGATGAATGTGTCAAGGGGCGCCGAGGCCTCACCGCCTGTGATAAGCATGGATGGCCATGGGCGCCAGTGTGGCCGATCCCCACCGTCTGTTCACAACACAGGCCCATAATGACATGGGGGCACGTTCGCACTACTTCGGTCATTTCACAAACCCAGACATGACGTAGTCAGACCAAAAAAAGTTGGTGGGTTTTTATGGTCTTTTTGCATGAACTGCCTCATTGCGCTGAGGCAGGAAACTGTGTATAAGAGTGCGGAGACCATTGCACGAGTGAATTTACGACTTTAGTACTGGACAATGGAAGTTAACTTTTTGCAGGGAAAGGACAAAGGAGGCACGTGACTGTCCCTCTCCTTCCCTTGACCTCTTGTGCGGAGGGCTGAGATGGAAAAAAAACAATCGCATACACAAACACATACACACACACCTATGTTGTGCCCTGGCATAATCCTACCAGACCCCTAAAAAATGTCTGTTAGTGTACGAGCCAGCTTGCCAGCGAGTTAGTTAGCACTACATTGACGTCACAGGTAAAACAACTCCGCTTCTGCTGCTGATCCTGCAGATGCTAACCCCTTTTTAAGTTGCTTTTGCCTTGGAATTTCGTCCCCACAAGCTGCAATTGCATACAAATCTCGTCTTTGTACAAGAAAGCCAAGTCAATCTTAAAAGGGAACCCTTCATAGAAGGCTGATCGCAAGCTGTAGACCATATCTGACCAGAGACTTCATCCTAGACGGTAGGAGTTTATTAAATACACCGAGTCTTTGAAATGACAAAGATGGGTGATTTTGCGCGGTGAATACTTGCCATGTACCAGGTATGGTAAACAAGTCCGCATACGTAGACGCAGATTACATTCTACACGTAAAAAGGTTGGCTATACATTCTTTTTTTTACATGCAAGGAATGTAGATAATTTGCCATCAATGTTTGACTACTACCTGCAGTCACAAACTTCTGACCTCAAGAGAAAGTAATGCAACGAATCGGATATAAATCCAATCCGACGTTAGCGTTATGCAGTAAGGCGGCACTTTCCCTAGTTGTAAATAAGCCTCAGGGACTTTTTTTTCTGTCTCGGTCAACGACACAGTTGCATAGGACTCCACTAGCATCACTTCCGTTAGTAGCCCATTGGCAAAGGGAGTATGGGGAATGCGTATCGAAAAGATCGAAACCGGCGTCACTGTACGAGCAATCTAGAGGGGGACATACGAGGCCATTTATCAGCAGTGGGTGGTTCTACCCGTAATGCCCGCCTTACGGACTGCGAAAATGAGAGTGGCCAACGTCTGGGTGAGGAAAAGTACAGCGAGGTCTGTCCGCCCCATAAATTTTCCCCTCGCTGTGCGGAGGGGAGATGGGGAGATAGGGATGTCCTTACCGCCGCCACCATCACCACCACCAAAAAAAGGAAAACTTCCGCCGTAGGAGGTAGACAACAGAGAGAGGAGGATGCGCGATACATATCACGACGGGACATAAAGTTCGACTGAGTGCACGTGGCTATGGCCCTAACAACCACACTTTTGGGAAGCAAATATTTAAAGAAAGGCAACAAATGAAATTCAGGGAAAGATGGGGTCAGTCTGGAGTCGTGAGGATCAAAAATACGTAACGACAGCACTGGTCCACGCTGATAACCTACTGGAAAGTTGCAATGGATTTGGATTCTGTCCCATTGAACTGAGACTCAATACATTACTAGTCTAACAAAACGATATAGAATTTCAGCTTTGCCACTACTTCATATCGTGTTTTACCATATAGCCACCCCTAGGTCACGGTTGGCACAAGATGGACCATTCGTAGAGCATCGACCCGCCTTAGTTTGAGCGGCATAATGCCCATGTAGTCATCCTACACACAAAACTATGTGGATTAATGCATTCTTTAGGTGGGTAGAATATACCAGTGTAGTGTTAAGTTTGAAACTAGCCAAGAGATAAAAGGGAATCTCAAATTATTTGCAAAGGTTGAAAAGAAATGCGCCTTTTCTATGCAAATTAAATGAGAATATTAGCGGTAGAATAAACATTATAGGGGCTGTATCCATGGCATTATAAGAATCACAGAAAATGGTTGTTCATCATCACACGAAGGATGTGGGAAACTATAGCATACAAAAATGCTTCTTGTATCTGTTATACCTCAAGCAGATCAGCCAATATTGCAAGAGCCGCTAAATGAGTATTTACATCGTAAATGTGCTCACAAGACATTAGCGAGACACTAAAAATTACAAAAATGGCGATGGGAAGAAAGACAAGCAGTCGAAAAACTGCAATAGTGCAAAGCTCAAACCTGTGCGCAACCTTGGAATACACCGAGATGCGGCTTTAGAGCTGTCGCTTTTACATTTGTTACTACTGCAGATCCGATATTTTGCCTTGAAGTGATATTAGTAGCCATTTATTCATTCAATTGGTGCGCATATATTAAAAAGTGCACCTTTCCTACTTTTACTTGTGGTTTTAAACTCAATCTGCTTACGATGACGTAAAAAAGGTTACATCTAGTATATATGCAACACTGGGATTAGGCAGGAAAGTCAGAGCACTGGGGTGATGGCTACTACTTATGGAGAAATAGCCTACCTATGCGTGACCCAGGCATGCCACTTAGGAATCCTACGGGCCGAGGCAAGACTGAATACCCCCGTCAGCCCCGAAGTGAGATTGACACCCACCGGGACCCCATATCGACCGTTCAAGTTGCACGATCCAACAAAGAGAACTTTGTCGCCAGCTGAGTGTGCCAGTGTGTTGGGAAGATGTGGACAATCAGCCAAAGCAGGTACCTCATTGAACGGAGTGTGGATTGATGGCTGCAGACTGTCTGAATCTGGCGTTCGACCCGCTCCCACAGAAGAGGCAGAGGAGGACAAGTGGCACCCCACGATCATTTGGCCCATTTCTGGTGAGGAGGGAGTGAGTTGAGGTGGGGAGCTATCCGTTTGAGGATTGTCCTCCAGGGAAAGGTTTGAAAATAACACGTCATCCACTTCCACCGTAGTTCGCGTCTCGTAGAGCTGATTACAGAAAAGAACTTAGGCGTAGTAAAACACAAAACTACCTCAGAGTCAGGAGTGGATAATCTTGGGTCACCAGAAAACAGATCCAACGTCCACGAAACTAAAAGCTGAGATTTCATATTGTAAGAGTCCTGAAGGTCCCCAAGATTGCTTCGATTGGCTAACTGAAAGCCGTAGGCAAGAGACATATGGTAATTGGATTTACACCTTCGCATAGGATCATCATCAGATATTATGCCAGCTGAAATGTGCGAAACAACCATGAAAGGGAACAAAGATCTCAGCCTACCATTCAGAAGCTCCTGCAAAAACACACGACAAAGCTTTTCCAGACTCGCGTTGACTTTGTCACTCGAGACAATGTACCCAATAAAGTCATCGGAAGTCACGAGCTTAAGCGGAACTTCGTCGAATTTCAGCACGTGTGAATGTTCTTGAATTATTTTGTCATAGATACCATGGAGCAGGAGAACTTTATCGTCAGAGACCCTCAGGTTCGACAGGAGTGTGATGTGCGGAGGAAATTCGTGTGCGTAATTCCAACCCTCACTGCCAGAACTCGCAAGCCAGAAGTCCGAAATATTTTGGGCCAAATCGGAACGGACACACAAAAATAAGTAGAATTCCCGGTAAAAGGGTTCATCCAGGAGAGGATCATCTAAGTGCGAAAGTAGCCAAAGGGCGGCATCTCCTTCACTCCGGTAACCAGTAGAGGCGAGAGCTTTGATTCTAAATAAAAGTCAGCAAAATATATATAAGTTACCTCCTCATATCCGAGAAGCAAATTTTCTTAAATTTCTCCGACATTTGAGCTTCGCGTATCTTTTTTCTCTCAAAGACGTCCACTCGTACATCAATCGGAATGCCCAGGCTGCCCATGGCTATCTAACAATAATACCAAAAGCCTGAAGCACGCCTTTTCTAACTCAGCGGCCGAGACAGCGGTAATTAGAACGATCGCTTGACCTTGAAAAAAATACCTCAAAGAGCCATAAAAACACTTCAACATTGTTATTTGGTATTCCAAAATATACACGTCATAGCATTAAAATTAGCAAAGGTTGTAAAATGGTGCCACACGCATCGACAAGGGATATAATCAGACCATTAAATTACAAACGTTTTGTTAGGTATTTGGCAAGGTAATTTTCCGTCAAAGTTAAAACGCGTGAAGGCTTAATACAAGAAAAAATTATAATTGGGCAGACTATGAAGACTATTAACATAATTTGAAAACATCATGCTACGGCGAAAAACATACATTTGGGGTGCTGGAATTGCACACGTGCTTTAAAGTATGCTTGAACAAAATATCAACTTAATACGCTTATGTTTAATTCTTTGGTCGACCATATTTTATGAAAGCCGGGAATTATTGGCAACGTTGGTAACATGATGCCCATTGTTTCGCCTTGATTTTTTACGTCGTTCTGTTTAGCTCTATGTAGGCTGCTGTCAAGGCCCTGGAATTGGCTGCTGCCATCTATTGTACTTTTGAAAATGTTCAGGACTCTATGATTGATTGCCAATATCCTGATGGTAAAAGTTGACTTTTCTCACCAGGCATTTTTTCTAGCTGACAGGTTTGCCTCTGCAAAAGCTCCTTGCGGAGACCCTAGGGCGAATAATACACGTCAACACTCCAAGCTAACGCACTCAAAGGATAATTGCTGGTTTCTTTACCTTAATTTCTTTTTGAGAAATCATATGTCGTCAAAAGAGAGTATATCTGCGCTTATCTTACTTGGACTACTTACGGTGCGTTAGAGAGCACACTCTCCTAATTTGACTAAATTTTGACAGGATGCACTGTTTAAATTCTAACTGTTGTTTTCTTTATAATTTGCATAATATTAACTTTTCTTATAAACCCTCTAGGTCAAGCTCAATTACTGCGCTGTTTTTTTTTGTGGTGTGCCCTTTGGTAGCAATTTATTTCACTGTCCTTTCGCCTTCTCGTCGAAGCCTTAATTTCATTTTGCAATGTAATTTTAGCTGTATGCGTTTGTCTTGAAGTCCCCATCTTCTCCCTTACTTCTGTTAAATGTGTCTGTTTTCTTTTCGAATTTCAGTATATTCTAGCACTCATCTTACTTAACTGTTACTTTCAGCAGTAATTCCAAATACCCCCACCGGACTATGTTTTTATGCGCTTATAGTTGATTCTTTGGTCGATCCCATTTTATGAAAGCGGGGAATCATGGGCAACGTTGATAACTTGTTACCCATTGTTTCGCTTTGATTTCTTGCATCTTTCTACTTACCCCTATGTAGGCTGCTGTCAAGGCCCTGGAATTAGCTGCTGTCATCTATTGTACTTTTGAGAATGTTCAAGGCTCCATGATCGATTGCCAATATCCTGATGGATACATTTCCAGCGAAAATTTCAAGCTCATTGCTCATGCTGTAATTCCCCGTGCCGATTTAACCGACCAGCCAATTATCATTGCTGAATTTGAGCATTTCATCATTGGTTTTCCCCAGCGCATCGAGGGAACTCGGTATTCGAGAAACACTCTTCTTTTTAATCTGTGCTTCGTCGTTCGTTCGCGTGAGTTCCAGTTGCAGCATTATGATCTTACCGGTCAGGATTTTCCTCTCCATTATGAAGACATTCACAGTGGACTTCAGCCCGCTCTACAATCGGCCTATGAACTTACCGTACGGAAGATTAATCGGTATTTGGCGTACATGGAGGAGGAAAACGCTGCGTTATCACAGGATACTTTCAAGCAGACGGTAGATGGGGGTAATGAAACACTGATCCACCGATTTCTTCGCCAAATTTTTACCGATCTACGAGAAAAGGGGCTTTGTGTAACCAGCTTAGGAGATGATTTGCCTCCGCTTTACCTCATTGTAGGATATTTTTTTGATTGTCAATGTTATTTTAAAGTGTTTGCTTTAATATCTAAAACAATGTAGTTTTTAAAAACCTTAACAAATGGTTAATGCGACCCTTATGCAAGTAATTTTCGCTCACGCTTCTCCAACACTTTCCATGTTGTGTTTATTAGTATTTCACAATGGAATCTGCTTGGACTGCCAGTAGCTGCATCGAGAATCCTTTCATGTAGCAGGTTTTGTATAACAACCTATTTATCAAGCCACTTTTTAGTTTCACTTGGATTTACGGGACTTTTCAATCCATTGAAATGTCTACAATTACTTCTTCTCTTGATGAATTCAAATAAGAGGATTAACTTTCTACAAAACTACTGAGAATTCCTGTCGTAAGGATAAGCAGTTATCAAGTGAATCATCTCTTTGTAAGTATAAGGAGGGAAACTTACTGTTCAGTTTCTGTTGTGGACATACTTGAATTCACGGTTCTAGTGACGTTCAGCATGTGACCGCTATCGAGCCCCCGTTTTTGTATGGCGAATATGGAGCCACAATATAAATTGTGGCTCTGATATCGATACCATGGTCTCGGGGGAAGATCAGCTATCATATCTACTCAAATGCCTTACTGTTCTGATATGGCACTATTTATCATTTTGACCATTTCAGCTGCTGCTCAAAAACCGGAAAGTGCAATTTTCTTCAAATCATGAACTTTCTGAACCTGCTTTTTAGTTGTTTAAAGCCCTAGCAACCTGTTTACTACATTGTTCGGTGTAACCAGTTAACGCAGTGGTGGAGACACGTGCACACAAATGTTTCGTTGGTAGTGAACATGTTAAGCTACATCTTCACCCAACTATTTCTCTTCATTTTCACTGAGTTCGCCCCACGAGCAGTGAACAACTCAGTGTCGAGCTGTTCCATCCCCACCGAGGCTGAATTGGCCACTGGGGAGCCGTGTAGCTGCATCGATGGAGCAACGGAGGAGGCGGAAGAAGACACCGAGGCACTATTGGGACGCACTGATGTTTGGTCGCGGGTGCCATCGGTTCTCGAGGACAGCACTGCCGCCGTCACCGATGCCACCATTTTCGTACGAGTCCGCCCCATTTTTACTTCCCTTGGCAACCATGTGGTCTACGTGCTGGAGCCGCATGACGACGATAACCTCTTCTCTTCCTTCTGGGAGGCGCGAGACCTCGTTTCTAGCCGCCTCTTGCCTCTGGTCAACGGCCAACGCACTGTTGCGCAGGTCGCTGGTCTGGCCAACGTGGACCGGAGCATTGCGCGACTCTGTCTTACTCAACTAGCTCAGCTGGGTGTAGTCCACATTGTCTCGGCACCCGTCTTCTTTCGCTCCACTGTCACGGGCAGCAGTATCTGTTCCGACGTGACAGAACTCTTTGCTGTACCTGGATATGTGGGACTACCAAGGCTTCTACGTCTGACTGTTGATGCCAAGCTGAGGGATGCCTGTTTTGAATCTGTGGTAAGTCTAATTTACTGGTGGACTGCGAGAGCCTTCGAGATAAGTCGACCCCTAAGTCCATTAAAACAACGAAAGAATTTCCATGAGTTGTAACTGCATTTATTTTCCTGCATATATCCTCTCAAAATTTACGCACATCCCAGCCATCTGGTAAGCCGCGACGTTACCCCTCGGGAAGTTCAAGTGTTTGTATATCTCAGTGCCTACCTCTTGGTATCTTGAACGATTTCGTTACCCAACAGGTTGTGCATCAATCAAGTTCCCAGAATAAGGCGTCTAAACATGACCTAAATGTTCACGGGGCTGAATGGTCGTTGTGATGATGGATTTGGAAGTGCAACAGCTGTGATCGTCACTGGCAGACGTATGAGTGCCATTGTGTCGAAAGCGTTCCGTGGATATAGGTAGGCATTCCTATGTGGGGCTTGGTTTTCGTTGAAAGGAGACTCTACGCTGATGCATGCACAGCTTCAATGGCACTATCACCTGCTATCTTGATGAATGATATGTTGACTGGCCTGCGACGTGTGGACCGGCTATCAAAAGTAGTTACAGAATTTACTAATGCCATGATTGCTTCCCTTTTATAAGTACAACATTAAAAGCTCGGCTTAAACTTCAACGCCCCTTGCAAATTAGTTCAAGTACCAGGATGAAGTTGTGCTGGGCCTGTTGTGATTTCAGCTGAGGTGTTTCCTTCATTTGGGAAGGTTGGAGGATCTCTGAAGATTTTACGGGGCTGAAGTAATGCAATGTGGGTATCTTTATGCTGCACAAACTACTCGTTTTAGACGTCGTTCTTGATGTTCATCGTTCGTGCAAAAAAGTGCAAAATCAAGTAGCTAAGCTTGTATGATGGTTTCCAGCTGGTCATTCATTCACCTTTCTCTCGAGATTAAAACCGTCCACTAGACTGCGTATCGATGTACAATCGTTAACCCCTTCGTTGATGTTTTGGGGCTATTGACATCGCGTTAAGAGGCTTATCGCAGCTAGGATCATAGGTTTCCTTTTACTCTTTCAGCTATCGTTAGCGACTAAACGCCGACGCCTCCATATCACCGACCCAGAGGGCCTAATTTTGAAAATTCTCCAGGTCTACTCCAAACTCTGCGCCCCACCCTACCTCAATCTTGCCTTCCTCCTCGCTTCTACCCAATCTTTCATAGATCTTCAACTTCCTCCACGCTTTCATTCGTATGAAAACAGAAGCGCTACCCTACCTTGCGTCAACCTCCTTCGTCTAGTCCAGTTTGGAGAGGTGAATAACCTCATTCACCGCCTGCATTGCTACCCGGTTAGTGAGGTACTCTCACCCATGGCTTCCAACGAGACCTCTGGTTTGGAGACGCGAACGTGGAACCTCTTGCGGGATCAAATGATGGACGGGGTACAATCGGTGGATGAGCTGGTCTACGAAGCTTCTGCTTGGGCTGTCAAGTCCTCTTCTCTGACACCAACGAATCGTTCCAACGGTGGACATTTCGGCGAAGATGGGCAGACATTCACCACGACGACAACAACCCTCCCGGAGGCTGTCGTATCGTTCACGGCGAAATTATTGAAAGAGAAGGCGGAAACAGATAGTAATGGCGTCGAGATGAGTTATAGCACGGTCTTATCGGAGGCAAACCGGACGGAGGGCTCGTCACCGGAGCATGAGAGCGTGACAGTGAATAACAGTGCCATTCATTTGCTATGGCACTAGGAACTTGTGTGGATTTTTTTCTTGTATTTTTTTTCGATGCTTCCAAAATTCGTCCCTGAGTCGAGGTCCATGGGTTCCGGGTTCTTGTCGCAGGTGGGGTGTAGTTAAGTGGGTTAGTTTGGGTGAGGAGTCGTCTGTGTCTGGGGTAATGGGTCTAAGGAATGCAATGGTATGTGCTCTTCAGCAGAGGTGTGAGTTATATAACGGAATAAATTATCCTTGTTCGTATTTTTAACATAATTTAACACAATCCGCTAGAAAATTACTAAAAGTGAGTATTGCCCTGACCTTGTATGAAGGTCAAATTGGTGTCCAATTGCCAGCTTCGTCCAATTGTTCATGCTTCCTGCCAAAGTCCCCTTAAAGTGCAGTAAATTCGCAGTAATTTCGCGAAGGTTCGTCTGTATTTAAGACTTCACCATATGTAGTTTGAAAATTAAGCCGTATCGACCCCCTGAAGATGTGAAATCTCGCCTGGAGTCGGTTGCCAGACGCACCTTGCCTACTTTCACAAACTTAAGCGAGGCTTTCATTTTCCCGGACCGCCAATCAAAAGTTGAGGTATCTGTATATCATCTAAATATTTGTCTTTCTTAGTTTTTGAAGGCTTGTATGCAGGAATTTCATCATACGATACCCTCTAGCTATTTACACGAGCTGGAAGACGTGAATGCGGTAAAAGAGTATTTCCTAAAGGATGTTGAACCGGAAGACAAATTAGTTGCAATGCTTGAAGAGCATTCAAGACTATCCAACTTGCCCCCCAACCTTGTTATACAGGTTGATCCTATCCGTTACAACCCTGATGACAAATCCTTCTTTCCCACTACAGCATTTCCCGGCAGATCCACAATTGTCAGTGGGTTGGATACCAGTAAGAAGTACCCGTCCTATAAAGCCCCAAAAAATAGACGACTCTGGATCGATGCGGAGGACTTGGCGTAAACGTCGTTCCGCAGCTCCCACTGCCTCTTGCTCTCCAACCCCAGTAGAGGTTGCAATAAACTTGAAGCTGCACACCAAAACCATTTAGCCTTTATGCACTCTTGGTGGGGGAACTCTGCACCCAGTACGCAAATCGGCTGTAAATACGCCCTGACTTGCAAGCTTTGCATGAGCAAGCAGATACTCAGGAAAAATCACAGCTGTTTTTGACCTTACATGAAGCAGTAGACAGCTCCAGACACAAGTTACGGAGAGCCAACTTGCGAGCGGCAAAATAAATGGTGAAGAGACATGGGAGAGGGGTCGCAAGTACGTGTACTTATTTACATCCAAGCCGAGATACCTTCAAGGTAAATGTTACTAGTAGCTTGCAAGTCAATGAAAGGCAAGGTAACTCTGGGTCCCAGTTAAGTCAATAGGACTCGCTAAAAGCATTGGCCAATCGATCAATGTCGTCGATGCTCAGAGAATCCAGAGTCTTTGAAAGGAGCTATGGGAATAAAATTCCATAATCGATTAAGGCTTGCCGCCGTTTTTGGCAACAGTAAAGTGAAATACACCCATCAAACACGTACACTCATGAACTTCGAGGTTATTGCTTTTGCATCATGTGTGTTGTAAGAAGCTTGTAGATATTTCTGTAGTATTTGCTCGAAATTCGGTGTCAAGCTGGCTTTGACGACCACCATTATCCGATCGCCCGATTTAATGGAGTAGTCCTTAAGACTTCGGTTCTTGTCTAACAATAAACAGAACAGAAAGCCTACCACTCAGTGGCGTTCCGTTAAATATGAGGGAAATCCGCTCACTCTCAACACCAGAGTCAGATGATATTTGGGGCAAGAGTTCGCCGACTGTTGTCATTTCTGTTACCTTTAAAGAGATAATAAAGTATGTCAAACATTACATTCATAATTTTGGCCGGTTGGCCGAGCCTCTTCACTGATATCTTCATCAGACCCCACGCCCAAAGTACAAAACTGGGAAGTGACCAATAGGAAGGACGGACCTCGAAGGCGCCTAAATCCTAGGTGTCACGAGTTGACCAAACAATAGTCGTCAGTTTGAATTCAAGTACAAAAACCATGTGTTTTTAACAAAAACGAATGAACGCGACTCAAATGATAATGCAATTCTTTATTAGGGCAAAAAAGATCTCAAAAATCCATCTCATTAAACTTTTCAATAAATCAAAGTTTGTTGAATTTTTTTAAAATTTATCTTGCTCAAAACTATTTTGAGATATACTGGAGAACACATCTGTTATCATGATCCTTTTTCCTAAACTTCGTATAGTTTATTGTCGGATTACAATGGCGCTGTCTGCCAGCCTTACACATCATTGTAGTTAATGCGTTCTATATAGCCTACTAATTTATGGTACGATTAAGGGAAAATTTTAAATCATTTTAGTTTATTTCTCCAGAAAGTGTGTTGCTGACATACAGATAAGATGCGAGTCTGCAGGCTTGGTTAGGACGCCATGTCACCCAGTGGGCGTATAGCTGCCTAATCTGCAGTCCACACGTAACCAAAACTCAGAGTTAGGCAAACTATCCAAGCTCAACACATTTAGAACCATAAAAACAAATCGAACTGATATTTATCGCTGAGACTACCCCTGGCAAACTCCTCAAATTTTATCATTACTGATCCGACTAAGATTTCCGAAGTATCTGTTGCATAAGTTAGAATCAGCAAGTGTTTGGCTTTAAAGTGTACAGAACCATAGTAAAATTCTTCCCAAAGTGCTCATTTGGGCAATGTATAGGCGATATGAACACCATTTTTCTAAAAGCATCAAACCACTTCTAATGCCTATCGGTCTGTAGTCTATAAATCCCTCTCTTTCGGCGTGTTACCTATCTTAAAATTGAAGAAGTCTTGCATAAATTTCTATCGCATGCTCTATTTCTTTAACACGTGCAGTGACTTCATTTATGCATGGCTGCCAGGCCATGCCAGCAGCCTCTGCTTTTCTTTACGCCGGTACTACATTTTCTGCCACACTACTACGACTTCCCACGACCCCACGAAATACTCGGGGCGCAACAGTTGCAATTCTACATTAATGCCGCCATGGAAGGTGACGACGTTGTCCATATGATCTTGCTTTGCGATCAGTTGACAGGACTGCTTCAGTTTTCCTTGAAAAACCCAATTTTGAACTTTCTAAATAAAAGGAAAATTTAGGGGTTTAGCTTATTCGCAATTACCATACAAATTAAAACGTAGTGATGATAATGGAACAAAAACAATCTTGATATTTCCCATTAAACTAAGGTGGTGTTTCCAGTGTCTGATGAATACGGAGTAACCCGAGATGGTATTGAAAGGCACATATCACTAACGTGCGGAAGAGCTGGTTGTCTATTTGCGTAGCACCCCGAGACTTTCCTGGGGGCGTAAGAAGACGTAATGCGGCGTCCCGAGACTCCCTGAAGACGAAAGAAGACACATTACTCGGGCAGAATATGTATTCAGCGCAGAGAAGGTGTCTTGGCTATTGGCATGGCCCAAAAGGCCAGCCCACCCAGAGAGGTACAAGGGGGCTAATTCAGGATACAAAAGTGGCGCCTCACCAGAACCGAGGAATAAACCACTATCGTATTACAGTAACACTCGGGCAGAATATGTATATATTCGGCACAGAGAAGGTATTTGGGCCACTGGCATGGCCCGAAGGCCAGCCCACCCGGCGTTGTTTTAAGGCCAAATCAAAAGTGACTCCTTGCTAATACCGAGGGATAAACAACCATCGTACTACATTTGTAGATTCTGAGGGCCAATCAACGGAACGGGGGTACTAACCATGAATAGGCATAATTGAACAAATTGTATGTTAACCGTGCATATTATTCGATAACTAATTATGCTATAGCCTTGAAAATGTCAGACCCTGTTATTTTCGAAATGGCTAAATAAATGCTGTCGTGATAGCCCTAACTGCTAATTGAAGGGCCATTTCGATATCGTGCTTTATCACCATACATTGGTTTATTGGCTTGGTAATGTGTTTAATTGTGTGCCTTATTACACCTCCAAGGTGTGAAAATGAAAAAAAATGATCAAAAAAATGGCATAAAGTGCCTTCTTCTAGCTATTACCCAGCTGTCATGTTTTGCAACAAGGCTATGCACAACTGAATTGACACCAGACATGAACCATTTGGAAAAACCCAATATCAGGGTGTTTGTGGCACCCATATGAAGGTTCTAGCTGAATGAAAGTCGGATAGGTGGCTGGATAGATGAATGGATGGCAGCTAGCTGTATGGGTAGATGAATGTATAATCGGCTAGTTGTACAAGTAGAGGGGGGGGGGGGCTGGATCCGGGATGGATGGATGGATGGTTGGTTGAATGGAGTAATGGATATAATGAGGCTAGAAAAGTTCGTAAAATCCTTTCAGATTATAACAAAAACTCTAGGAAGTCTCTTTCCACGTTTAATTGCCTTTCAAAAAATAGAAAAGTAAATAAGAATCATGCTTTTGTTGGAGATTTTGTCATTGAAAAGTTGATGATAATTTGGTCTTAGTCACTTCCATTCTAATCTCAACTTCATTTCCCAACCCTCTATAACAGAATTGGCATAATGGAAAAATATAGAGGACAAGGTTGAGGTTGTACCTCTTTCCTCACTTTCCTCTCTCCCTTCCTAAAGTGCTAATCTTTTAAAGGAGCCGTTTCGGGTAGGTGGTAAGAGGTCTGGCGTCTTGAAAGACAAAGAATAAGATAGGTGGATGGCGTGATAGATATACAGATGATTTGGTCACACTGAAGTGAGGCCAACGTGGCAAGGGCGATGAGGGGCAAAACATTAATCCTGTGAAATTATATTAAAGTTTGATAGTCATGAAATAACTTTGATTTTAAGCCAACTTCCTTATCATTAGCGATTAACACACAAGATACCCTTAATGCAGAGGTATGTCGGGTACTGAGCAGTATAAAGCCAGGGCATTTCCCCTTCTCGGTACTGTTTACAAGTAGGGCGAAACTGCGGACGCAGGACAATTGACGAGATATACCAATGACGTGGAGATGAAATGCCTTGGCACATGCAAGATTAATAGACTGACGTTGATGATTTAGGGGGCATTGACGAAGAGAGGCGTTGTTGAAGGCGCTGTGCGGGGTGAAACCTTTCTGTACGCGATAGGTTTTATGCTGTGCAAGTAACCTCCCACCTAGCCTTTCTTTGCATTATTAATGCGGTTTCTTTCAACTGCCTCGAATTATTACGACAATACGGATGTCTCAAGGTTTGAAAATTAAAACATTAGATTGTTCGGATTCCTATTTTTCATGTCCTAAACCTAGATCTTGATGTCAGAGAACTTGAAAAGCTACAAAAAGTAGTAGCGGTTTCCAATGTGCATCATTTCAGACTTAGAAATCCTACTTTAGACCGTGCAAATGCTGCAGAAGTGGTGAAAA